ACGAAAGCACCCGAAACGTCGGGAATTAAAAATAATTAAAATTAAACGCGATAAAATCCTTAAAAGTAGTTTTAATCAATGTAACAAACATACTTAACTTCATGTCTTAGTGCATTAGCGCTATGATACGTGGAGTTTTGTTCATTAGCGTCTTAGTAGCTTGCTACTATGATATGTTGGTGTTATTTTTTAGTTGACAATAATAAAAATTTTGTTAACAAAGTTCATAATACATGATCCCTATGTGGGTTTGTTGTGAGGGGGCGCTATCCGTATGATAGTTGCATTGATGCTTACTGCTACTTGCGGTATTGCGTCTTGTGATGGATCTGCGGGTGTGCTGCGCCTGATTCGACGCATTCTTGCGGTTTTGGTCGATGGAGGTATGCGGGTGGTGATGTCTGCTAGGATATATGGGGACCTTGGGATGATGTAAGCCGACAATAGTCGTATTGATGCATGTTGCGTTCTGCAGCATTGCATCTCTGCGATGTTTGTTTGGTGGGACGCTATTCTCAATGGCGCTCTCTGCGTCTTGGTTTGACTCACACTTAAGTAGCTTTGCCCAAGTTGCGTCCCTTCATTACGGGGCTGCAGACTGTCTGACCTCTATGATGGTTTATATAACAACATAATAATATATCTCTGTAACTTTCCCACCTTTGAATGATTGAAGGCAATTTGTTGGTGGGTGCGACTAACGTGATCAAAAATGCATTTACTCAACGGCAGTTACACAAACCCTTATAGATGGCGAATTATTACTAACATCTTATAACTGCCTTTTGGCTATATCTGCCGTTTTATTGGTTGGTGGATTGTCGACCTCATGCGGGTGGTAGCTGGAGGGAGGATCTGAGGAGTTCTCAAGATTGCGGCCGAAAGCCGCACAACGTGGGACCCCATTCCCTTGAGGTGAGCGGTAGACTCATGACACGCTCCGCGGCTAGTAGCCGTGCAGATCATGCAATTGGTGGTGATGCCATACACTTATATCACGTCTGCAGGAGCGGTGGTCTGGCAGGTGATGGCGCTCACGGAGTGTTTACGGCCAGTGTGCCTATTTGCCTAAACCGTGTGACGTACATACACTGTGGCTGGAATCGTTCGTATTCTGTATGGCGTTTACAAGCATTGACATGCGCGACTTCGGTCGATGTTTGTGTTTACGCACTACCAAGGGGCCAAGCCCTCTTTTACTGGTTCGCCAGATATTTTGCTGTGGACTATGGTCTAGTCCCAGAATTAGCGTTCCCTTCGGGGGAGCACATTAAGATGGTTGGCGCTCACCACGCACGGCGTGTGTGTGCCTCCCCCACATTTTTTAAATAAATGTGCTAGAGCGAAACCCTTCTATCGGGTACCTTTTGTATATACATATATTTAGGAAGGTAGTTAAATAGAATTAATTTAAAATCACAAAATACACGGATCACAGGTAATCGACTATAAATTGTACTGAGACTAATTTAATAGCTGATAATAATAATTAATTCGTTTCCACGAATTAAATATCCGAATAGTCTAGGATGAGCTAGTAGCGGGATACAACAAGTGAACCGTGCCACGCCAGTGCCAAAACTGCCTTAACAGCGGCCGCTCCATCCGTTTTATACAATCGAGACAAGTAACTACCCGAGCGCCACTGCAGGTGCAATGCGCAGGTGTGCGGTGCACGTGTTTACAATAATTCCGACTACCCACAGAGGCGCTGCGACATATACATATTGTGAGCCTTTTCCAAGCGGGAAGGGGTCATTAATTATAAATTAATAATGTAAACCTGATACAAGTGGAATAGGGACGTTTTATGTTCTTAACATTTCTCGAGCACAGTCTTCGTGAACGGGGTTCACTTACCTTATAAAGCACAACCAACAGTAACGGCTTAGAAAGATCAAAACATATTTTATTTATCCTGGTTATTTATCCTGGTATATATGTGTAATATAATTTTATTTAAAATGAGGTAAATTCATAATATACAAATAATTTAAGTTATACTAAGGGGGGGGGGGGGCGGAGCGTTACAATAACAATGACATGTTGCAAATCGGTAACATTTATTGCTATGCAGACGACAGCACTGGTAATGCTTTATACACCAGCTGTACCAATATTTCTCGGGAAAACGTCGCCGTGTACCGAGAAAAACTTGTGTCCCAAGTCGAGACTTTGTTGAACAAAATCTCGGACTGGAGGCGACTAAATTAAGTTTAATCCCCAGAAGACAAAAGTTTGCGCGTTTACCGATAAAAAAACACCTTTATCGTATCTCCCCAGTTTCAAGGCACTCCCCTTGTTCCCTTAGCCAGTATCGGAATCCTCGGCGTCGACATATCGAGTGACGTGCAGTTTCGTGATCACTTGGAAGAGGAAGCCGAATTGGTCTCAAAAAAGCTTGGCGTGCTCAGCAGAATGGGACAGTATTACATGCCGGCTCACCGCTTGCAACTCTAAAAGGCGCAGGTTCGGCCGCACATGGAATACTGTTTCCGTCTCTGGGCTGGAGCTCCCCAGTGCCACCTCCTTCCATTTGATCGCATCCAGCGCAGAGCTGTTCGAATCGTCAGCGACTAAGCTCTTTCCGATCGCCTTGACTCACTGGCACTGCGAAGAGATGTTGTATCTCTTTGCGTATTTTATCGTATCTACACGGAGTGCTCTGAGGAATTGTTCGGACTACTTCCAGCCTCACAGTTTCATACCATCGCACATCGCGACAAAACTCGCGATACCATCCATATCATCTGGATGACTGACGGTCCACCACTGTGCGATTTAAAAAACAGTTTTCTTCCTCGCACAACTTCCTTGTGGATTCCACAAGGAAGTTGTACGAGGAAGAACTGAGACTGCTACCGGGATATTTCCGGACCGACTTTGACTGCTACATCGCAATTGAAATTTTTTCCTTGCAAAAAGGAGTCCGAATTCCGTAAAAAGTGGCAATTTGTTGGAGCAGAACCGAAGACTATATCTAATTTTGTGACCGTCTGTTGTGCTGTGTCTTAGTTGTTTGACGGCTAGCTTTTCCATCATGGTTTACAATTGTTGACAATGCAGATCTGCCATGATCATCTCACCAGATCTCAGGAAGCTAATGTGGATGACATAAGAACTGGTTCACCAGATATTTATCAGTAGCTTTTACGAGTCAACTTTCGCTTTGGTCAGGATAATATCTAACTAGCTCTGACATGGTTTGCGATGGATCCGATTCCACGATCACTTTTTATTCCTCATTGTCAAATAAGGTTTGCGCCTGTCCATGGGATTTGTTCTGTAGGTCGAAATTCCTAAAACGAAATCATTGGAAACAAAACGTAGTATGTTTATTTACAGCGCTGGAGCCACGGTGGATCTCGTATTCGTAACTAACGCGATATTTTATGTTTTCCATATTGTTAACAGAACAATATCGAAGAATAATCAAATGGCGCGAAAAGCAATCACTAATTTGGGAACTCTAATACCAAAGCTTAAATTTGAAATGAATATGAATTTGGAATTCCTATCCAAACGCCAGACATTCGAGATCAAGTGGGCAGTTCGAAAAACGCCAATTTCATAATAGGGACATAATAGCTAAATAACAGTGTTGCTGATTTTAAATAAACTAAAATATATTAGGTATGTTACTAATAAAACAAATTATCAGGATAAATGCATTTATCAAATTAAAAATAAAACATTTGAATAATATTCGTAAGATGTAAGGTTGAGGACGTGATCTGCAACAAAAAACAAACAATTTTCTACTGTAAGTATAAGTTTCATATACTCTACATAATTAAAACACGGTTTCATGTCCGTTCACTATCGCAAAGTTCCTTTTTATCGTGTATGGGCAGCACATTCCCATGATAATGACGGAATAAAGAGTGCACCTAAGTTTGCGCATATAGTCATACCTCTATCTTGCGCAGATGGCTAATGTTCGTTGAGGATGGCCACTGTAACTGAAATTCTGTCTGGAGGAAATGATAATTGACAATATTTTTTTAAAGAATAATGATGTTAACGACAACTCAGTCTACTTGATGGTAAGTTGATGACATTTATCATGAAGCGACAGTAGCCTAATGGCAGGGTGCGGACCGCGAACTCAAAAAGGTCGTGGGTTCGAATCCGCCATTCGACTACTGGCGTGAACCACTCGTAACACAAGCAATTTAAGCTTACCACGAGTGGTTAAGGGGAATATTAGCAATGTTTGTAGCATTGTTAATATTTAAAAAAAACTTACCATCATCGATTAAAAATCAAAATACAGATGCTATTACACCCCTGAAGACTAAGATTAAATGTCTCGTTTCCAATCAAAGTGTTTTGTACACTCACAAACGAAATTACTATTTTATGCTGGTATTTTCTGAGAGCATGGTCTTACCCCAGTCGAGTCAACCCATTCGTGCTACATCCGTAATAAATAACTGCAGCGTGATTCTACTAATTGTAATAAATTTACTACACAGAAACTCCATGCACATATATTAACAATTGACTTTGTGTTCTATACTTGTAAAGGGTCCACACACAAGTGTCCGATGCATTTTCTTGTTGGTTTTATAAAGTATATAGCTGGCAAAACAGAAATACTGTTCAATGTTGAATAAAAATTATATTGTGTAAATACAATGTCCATCCATCCATTACACTCCATAAAAGTTCACTGCGAAACATATTGCCTATAATTGTCAGGCATTGCAGGTAGGTTGGCAACCGATTATGGTCAGTTGTTATCAAATGAAGATGCTGCAGCCCATTTCCTCTTTAAGTTTCCCTCTGGTGCCTCTTACGAAACCCCAGAAAGAGGGCTAGGGTAAGAGAGTTTAATACCCCATGACACTGTAAATATTGTTAGGTTAAATGTTTAAACTTATTTGATCTCTTTCCTGAGAGCAAAAAAATTCCTATCAATTTTTTTTAAATGTAGTAAGATATTAACCTACCTGGAGAGATGTAGCGTAGGAGCAAGCGCTTCTTTTTTTCTATAGAACTATAGCTGCGGAACTGGAGGTGGAATTAGCAGTCGAACCGACAGCGGAACCGGCAGTGGAACAAATGGTGAAACTGGTGGTAAACCAACAATTCCGCCACCACCTGTTCCACTGCCGGAACCGGCAGTGGAACTGGCAGTGGAACCGGCAGTGGAACCGGAAGTGTCGCCGCCACCTGTTCCAAAGCCGGAACCGGCAGTAGAACCGGCAGTAGAACCAGCAGTGGAAATGGCAGTGGAACCGGCAGTGGAACCGGAAGTGTCGCCGCCACCTGTTCCACATCCGGAACCGGCAGTGGAACCGGCAGTGGATCCAGCAGTGGAACCGGCAGTGGAACCGGAAGTGTCGCCGCCACCTGTTCCAAAGCCGGAACCGGCAGTGGAACCGGCAGTAGAACCAGCAGTGGAAACGGCAGTGGAACCGGCAGTGGAACCGGCAGTGGAACTGGCAGTGGAACCAGCAGTGGAACCGGCCATGGAACCGGAAGTGTCGCCGCCACCTGTTCCACAGCCGGAACCGGCAGTGGAACCGGCGGTGGAGCCGGAAGTGTCGCCGCCACCTCTTACAAATCCGGAACCGGCAGTAGAACCGGCAGTGGAACAAGCAGTGGAACCGGCAGTGGAACCGGCAGTGGATCCAGCAGTGGAACCAGCAGTGGAACCGCCAGTCGAACCGGCAGTTGAACCGGCAGTGGAACCGGAAGTGTTGCCGCCACCTATTCCACATCCGGAACCGGCAGTGGAACCAGCAGTGGAACCGGCAGTGGAACCGGCAGTGGAACCGGCAGTGGAACCGGAAGTGTCGCCGCCACCTATTCCACATCCGGAACCGGCAGTGGAACCGGCAGTGGAACTGGAAGTATTGCCGCCACTTGTTCCACATCCGGAACCGGCAGTGGAACCGGCAGTAGATCCAGCAGTCGAACCAGCAGTGGAACCGGCAGTGGAACCGGAAGTGTCGCCGCCACCTATTCCACATCCGGAACCGGCAGTGGAACCGGCAGTGGAACCGGCAGTGGAACCGGCAGTGGAACCGGAAGTGTTGCCGCCACTTGTTCCACATCCGGAACCGGCAGTGGAACCGGCAGTGGATCCAGCAGTGGAACCAGCAGTGGAACCGGCAGTGGAACCGGCAGTGGAACCGGCAGTGGTAGGAGTGGAACCGGCAGTGGAACCGGAAGTGTTGCCGTCACCTATTCCACATCCGGAACCGGCAGTGGAACCAGCAGTGGAACCGGCAGTGGAACCGGCAGTGGAACCGGCAGTGGAACCGGGTGGAACCGGAAGTGTCGCCGCCACCTATTCCACATCCGGAACCGGCAGTGGAACCGGCAGTGGAACCGGCAGTGGAACTGGAAGTATTGCCGCCACTTGTTCCACATCCGGAACCGGCAGTGGAACCGGCAGTAGATCCAGCAGTGGAACCAGCAGTGGAACCGGCCGTGGAACCGGCCGTGGAACCGGCAGTGGAACCGGCAGTGGAACCGGCAGTGGAACCGGCAGTGGAACCGGAAGTGTCGCCGCCACCTATTCCACATCCGGAACCGGCAGTGGAACCGGCAGTGGAACCGGTAGTGGAACTGGAAGTGTTGCCGCCACTTGTTCCACATCCGGAACCGGCAGTGGAACCGGCAGTAGATCCAGCAGTGGAACCAGCAGTGGAACCGGCCGTGGAACCGGCAGTGGAACCGGCAGTGGAACCGGCAGTGGAACCGGCGGTTGAACTGGTGGTGGAACCGGCAGTTCCGCCGTCACCTGTTCCACTGCCGGAACCAACAGCGGAACCGGCAGTGGAACAGGTGGTGGAACTGCCAGTTCCGCCAGTTCCAGAACCAACTCCATCGCCGTACTTATCGCCATATTGACAGCCATGTCTACCGCCATTTTTAGGGCCAGGCTTACTGCCGTGGTCACCGCCATGTTTACCAACATTTTCATAGCCATGTCCACCGCCATGTTTACCGTCATGGTATCCGCCATGTTTGCAGCGTTGTTTATCGCCATGTTTACCGTCATGTACACCACCATGATCACCGCAATCTTTACAGCCATGATCCCCGCTATGTTTACAGTCATGTTGACCGCCATGTTTAACGCCATGTACAACGCCATGATCACCACAATGTTTACGACCATGATCGCCGCTATGTTTACAGTCACGTTGACCGCCATGTTTACCGCAATGTTCACCGCCAGATTTGCCTTTAATGGAAGTATGAATTTTTATTTACAGCTATTTTTTATTATAATTATGATAATTAAATAATTCAATTATAGTTGACATGGACTTTGCCTTAAACGTATCCATGTATTGTCCTAAAAACCTATCATTTACTGTTAAACAGCACTCTTCCGTATACATAGTACGAATCAAAAACAATTGTTTTGTAACGATAGTGATGAGGTAATAAGCATATTCGTATGTTTTCTCGGCAGCAAATTTCTTCTGCAAAGATTCAGGTTCTATTTTATAATACATTTTTTTTATAGGATAGGGTGACAAACGAGCACACAGTCCATCTGATGGTAAGTGGTTGCTGTGGCCCATAGACATCTACATCTATCCTTGATTACGAATCAAAATGCAGATGCGTTGTCACCCGTGAGGACTAAGATGGAATGCCTCGTTTCCAGTAAAAAGGGTCTCCGGTTCTCTAGACTCACCATACGAAATACAGCAGCATTAAGCTACTATTTCACGCTGGTATTCTGTGAGAGTGTGGTCCTTCCCCGGTCGAGCCGACCCATTCGTGCTACAACTATACTACTAGTATAACTGCAGCATGGCTCTACCACGTATAAAATATAAGGGCTAAAAACAAGCTCACACCTCGATCCATACTCGTAGATATCTACATGATACAAGACAGATATATTCGATTATAATTAGGTAGTATATGCGATTCATTACTGATGATGAGGATAAATTTCTTCAATGCTAATTCAGATGGTCTCCGTCCACTACACGTAATACGAAACACTAAGTAAGTAAGAATGTAGCCCTTCTTCGGTCAGATCAAGCCGTATGTACCGCAACTAGAAAACGTATTTTATTCGTATTGCTGCATGATGCTGTCACGTAAGAATTGCTATCATATCACTTAACTAATTAGGAAGATAAACTAGTGGATATATAACTCTTTGAGAGATACTTACACGACAATGAGATACTTATGGCTGTGCCGACCTGAAAAAAAAAATAGAATGGGATTAAGCCAAGTTTTTTATACAAATAAGAAAAAGAAACCTATTAAAATAGATAAATAGGATTGACAAAGAAAAAGATTCTGCGTTTAATTGTGTACACACGTACGAAGTGAAATTTCTTTACAACATGTCATTCTTTTTTTATTTAATATTTTACATAAGTGGGTTCAACAAAACTCACTCATTCAGCCCCGGTGGTGAAACGTTACAAGAAAACGTGACGTTTTAGTTTTTTTTAATACCGTTCTAAAGTTCTACACTGCATCGATAAAAAACGTTTCCACCAAAAGTGTGTGTATGTTGCTATTAATGCAGGTTCAAACAGGATTTTTCTTTAATCTTACTTCTTTAAAACTCTTTATTTTATTTGTTAAATAAAATAATTTAATAGCGAATATTAAATGCAACATGTTGTGTGATACAACGTTAAGCAGGCACCAAGGAGTGGAAAAATTGACGTTACCCAGGGAAAAACATTTGATTTTTTTGTTTTCGGATTGTAAACTAACTTTTTTAAATAATGTAGAACTTAACACGCTACACAATATTTTTCGGTACTATTATTACAAATATCATTACTTTTTTGCATTACCGGTCGTATTGCTACGGATATGAGTAAATTATAATCATAATATCGAGTTAACTTCAAAACTAGTAGCGCTACTCTACCAGTTATCTCAGTTATTTTTGGAATTTTCAAATAATATTTCCATACTTACCGAAATATCTCACCGTTTTTATTGACAAGCTTTAAATAGAATCGTTTCGTTTAGACAAAAAATATCAAAAATCAACTTTTTTAGTATACAATTATTTCCAAGAATAAACAAAAATAAAGCATTATAATTATTAATATTGGGTATTATTGACACTTACCAATAAAAAGAAAAGAAGAACTTTCGGCTCCATCTTGTGGGTTTTTTTGCTGCAAATTAAAAAGTTTAAGTCACACCTGCCTTTTATACTAATGTCCGAGCATACCCCTCCGAGTCTTGTTTATTTAAGTTGTGCATAAATATGTTATTCACTATAAAATGCATTATAATAATGTAAAATATCTGTTGTCTTTACGTGCGCTCTTACAATATTTTTATACTTTATGAATGTCAGGTGTAAGTGGAAATCGGATATTCCCTTTAATAATATATTAAACGAATGACCTAAATCAAACGTGCTGATTACAGGATTGGTAATTATTTCGTAGAGCAGTTTAAAGTTTCACAAGTAGCCCTGAAGTTTTTAAAGAAAGTTCTTGTTTATGCAATATGTAACAAAAACCCTTTTGTTTCCGTAATGTGCGTTATCATAATCGATATTCAAACGTGTAGAAGTAACTTTAAATGAGAAAACTCGACCATAAAGTTAAATTGAATTTAAATAATTTTCTATATGCAAATTGCGTGTGGTTTTAGTATCTCTGCATTATTCAGCGATTACAGGTATTTTCAATTACCTCCCGCTTTACCGATGCGCGTGTCAGAGGTAATAAAACCACATACAATCCGAAAACAAAAATTTATGGTCGACTTATCTGAATAAAGTTATTTCTCTACTATTGAATACTGATTCTTATAACGTACTTAAAGGGAACTACAGCGTTTTTTTACGTATTTTGTGTACTTATTTCTCATTAGATTTTTTATGTATGTAATACTTAAATTTTAAAGGAATATAGCAATTTATATAAATATATAGACACCGCTCTCCACTTTGCATCGCTCGGCAGGAGATCTTTCCTTTTCCTTTGCCAGCCAAAGGGGTGACGAACCGATGTTATGTATTCACATCACGTCAACCTGCTTTTTTTTTGAATTTAAATTATAGAATTTTCGCCGTGAACATGCAAGCCAACTTTTCTTAATTGTAACGCATCGCGTACCGTCGGATACTATTCAAGACACACAGAAAATTAGTATGGGGGCATAAAAACTTTAAATCCTACGGGGATATCCAATGACACGTGGATATCTTACGTGGTAAAGCCTTGCTGCGGCTCTATTAGTACTATAGTTGTATCACTAATGGGTCGATTCGACCGGGGAAGGTCACGCTCTCACAGAATACCAGCGTAAAACAACAGCAGTACGTTGTGTTTCGTATGGTTTGTGTAGGGAACCGGAGACCCTTTTTACTGGAAACGAGGCATTCCATCTTAGTCCTCACGGGTGACAATGCATGTGCATTTTGATTCGTAATCAAGAATAGATGTAGATGTCTATGAGCCAAAAATAAGAACGACTTTCTGACATCCTTCGTAGCCATGGCTCGATTTTCACCGCTGGATATACTGTCGGAAATGAAAGCGGGGCACACTACCATCACTCTTAGTTCGATGACAATGAGGGTTGATGAGGGCAATCTCCTAGTATTGTATAACTGTCTTCGCGATGTGATGATGCTAGGTATAGCGAATATGTCTGTCGTGTGAAAAACGACATGCCAGGCTTGACAAATCGATTGGCAAACACGCTGATGTTTTGTACTTTTTACGCTGCTTCCTGTCGACGGTCGGGACATTGTTCTATTCCGGCGTGAACAGGTTTACATTGGTAATGTAATCTTAAATTTTTTTTATTAAAAATTTATTTTCTTACAAGCAAAACCGCTGTAATAGCCTATGTTTCACACTTAATTATAATATTGACACAGTTGGCAATAAACCCATAAATATAAGTACTTATTGTTATTTAATTATTATTTAATCAGCTTGAATGTATTAAGTACTGAAACGTTATTTATGTAACCTCTAACTAGCCCGTCTTTGTTTCACTAAGTCAAACCAATGTCACAATTTGATAAAGCAGAGATTTCTATTAAATATAAAAGAAGAGCTTGTCATTCATATCGTCCACTGCATTGCAATCTTGTAGGCACTGAAAGCGGTTGTGTAACTCGAGCTGAAAGTTTTCGGGATTTTGGATCAGAGCACGAGGGGGACGGAGCGTTGACTTCATTAGACGAGACCTCTCCAACTTAACGTTTAGGTTCAGTGTGCCTCTAACCATTCGGTGATCGCTGCCAGTTTTCACCCTTGCGATCACTGAGACATCACTGAACAGTTGGCGTCTGGTCGTCATAATGAAGTCAATCTCATTTTTTGTCGAACCGTCGGGGCTCGACCAGGTCCACTTCCTGTGGGGCCGCTTCTGGAAGAAAGAGTTCATCATAAAGAGTCCCTCTTTCTCCATAAAGTCGGCCAGCTGCTGGCCCCTTCGGTTCCGTTGCCCTACTCCAAATTTCCCTAACTTCAGCTCACCGTTTTCTCTTGTGCCTAGTTTTGCGTTGAAGTCTCCCATCAACACGGTGTAGTGGGTTTTGGAGGAATGTATGGCTTTGGAAATATCCTCATACATTTCCTCCACCTCCTCATCGGAATGTGCCGACGTTGGTGCGTAAACCTGTATGACCTTCAGCGAATACCGTTTGGTGATTCTGAGTATCAGGTACGCGACCCTCGTCGACACACTCTCAATCTGTACAACGTTGTTGACGAGAGACTTGTGGACGATAAATCCGACACCTCCTTGGGACAGATGGTCGCCCTCCCGGTGATAGAACAAGTTGCCGGATTCAAGAATCACCGTGTCCTCCCCCTCTCTTCGGACCTCGGATAATCCTATAATACTCCAGCGCAACTTGTCTATCTCTTCTTCCAGCTCCAGGATCTTCTCGTCAGTCCTCAGTGTGCGTGCGTTAAATGTTGCCAGGTCGAGTCGTCGTAGGTGGCAACCGAACCTCCACCGGAGATTCTTAGCACCCCCCTGCCCCGCCGTTACCATGGTCGCCACCGTAGCCAGGAATAGCGGGGCCGCCGGGGACTGGGGGCCGTCTATTTGTGTAATTGTTCATGGGGGGTATATTGCCATAGTTGCCACGCTTGGCGAGCGGGTTGGCAACCGCAGTTTTTTTTTGTCGTACAGTTGCTGTTATCAGGAAGATGCTGCTGCCCATCTCCTGCCTGTCTCCCTCTGTCGCCTCTTACGACACCCACGGGAAGATATGGGGTAGTGGATATTCTTAACCGCCACTACACGGCAATGACAAGCTCGTGGAAACTGTCCTTGCGGTCGGAGCTAAGTTCTGCAAGACCCGCCGCAGAAGAACACAAAAACTCTCCGATCACACTCTTAATCTCATGGCTGTTAGACGGGAGATGAGGCTGCAATCGTCAACAGATTTGACAGCATACAGGCAACTGAACAGACAGATCTCCAAATGCATGCGGCGAGACTTACGCAACTTTAATACTGCTCGTATTAAAGAAGCGATCGAGCGGAACCAGGGCTCCAAAGTCTTTGCCAGAGATCTGTCTGCCAGAAAGAGCCAACTGTCAAGGCTGAAGACTGAGTGTGGCAGCATCGTTTCCGGGACACCTGAGATTTTGAGTGAGATTGAGAGGTTCTATGGGCAGCTGTACACATCATCGTTGGAGCCACACGCAAGTGTGAGTAACGATCCAAGAGCAAGTCTTATCCGACACTATTCCGATGTATCCCGGACGTCAGTCTAAGCGAGATTAGAATGGCTCTCCAGCACCTTAAAAACGGCAGGGCCCCAGGCGAGGATGGAATTACAGCGGAGCTTCTGAAAGCGGGTGGAACACCGGTACTTGAAGTCCTTCAGAAGCTCTTCAATTCCGTCCTCCATGGTGGCACTACTCCAGAGGCGTGGAGCAGAAGTGCGGTGGTCTTGTTCTTTAAGAAAGGCGACAACGCTCTCTTGAAGAACTACAGACCGATTTCCCTTCTGAGCCGCGTCTACGTGCTGTTTTCGAGAGTCATTACGAATCGTCTCGCACGCAGACTCGACGACTTCCAGCCTCTCGAACAAGCCGGTTTCCGAAAAGGCTTCAGTACCATAGACCACATACATACCCTGCGGCAGATTGTACAGAAGACTGAGGAGTACAATTTGCCACTTTGCCTGGCGTATGTGGACTATGAGAAAGCCTTTGATTCCGTCGAAATTTGGGCGGTGCTGCAGTCCCTTCAGCGGTGCCAAGTTGACTGTCGGTATATCGAAGTGCTGAAGTGTTTGTACAGTAGGGCTACGATGGCTATCCGAGTACAGAACCAGAGCTCGAAACCTATCCAACTGCAGAGAGGTGTAAGACAGGGTGACGTTATATCCCCGAAACTCTTCACCGCTGCTTTGGAAGACGTTTTCAAGCTACTGGACTGGAAAGGATACGGTATTAACATCAATGGCGAGTACATCACTCACCTTCGATTTGCCGACGATATAGTCCTTATGGCAGAATCGCTGGAGGACTTAAGCACTATGCTCAATGACCTCAATAGTGCCTCCCAACGGATAGGTCTTAAGATGAACATGGACAAAACAAAGATTATGTTTAATGTCCATGTCACACCTATGCCGGTAGTTGTTGGAAGCACTATGCTCGAAGTTGTTGACGAGTACGTTTACCTGGGACAAATATTCCGACTAGGTAAGTCCAACTTCGACCGAGAGGTCAATCGACGGATTCAACTCGGCTGGGCAGCGTTCGGGAAATTACGACATATCTGCTCGTCAGGTATACCTCAATCTCTGAAAACTAAAGTGTACAACCAGTGCGTGTTGCCAGTGATGACTTACGGATCAGAGACGTGGTCCTTCACTGCTGGCCGTATGAGGACGCTCAAGGTCGCTCAGCGAGCTATGGAGAGGGCTATGCTCGGAGTTTCTCTGCGTGATAGACTCAGAAATGAGGATATCCGCAGTAAAACCAGATTGACCGACATAGCCCAACGGATTAGTAAGCTGAAGTGGCAATGGGCCGGCCATATAGCTCGAAGAACCGATAACCGATGGGGAAGAAAGGTTCTCGAGTGGCAGCCCCGTACCGGTAGGCGTAGTGTAGGGCGACCCCCCACTAGATGGAGTGACGACCTGGTAAGATATGCAGGAAGTCGATGGATGCAGGTGGCTCAGGACCGTGCTTTGTGGCATTACTTGGGGGAGGCCTATGTTCAGCAGTGGACTTGTGAAGGGCTGTGATGATGATGATGATGATGATAAAAGAAGATTATATGAATACAAGGCATTTAAGCTTTATCATTGGTTCGGATATAAAACCCGTTGTCCAAAGAAGAACTGGCAAGAAACCCAGCGCGACTTATTTTTTAAAATATTAATTTACAATATATTTTACACAATACAGTACGAAACAATTAGAAACAGCATTGTGACGATCACCTCGTACCCAGGGGTTATATCAATCATGTACTATTTAGTACTATAATATGTACTATAATAATCTTTATTAAACAAATTTTTGCCAAAAAAATAAAAATATTTTGATAGATAAGTAAATCATACAACTTCGGTGGAACACTTTGTGGTATTATTGAGTTCGCGTCGAGATTTATATATTGAAAATATTTCTTTAATAGTTGTATTGTCAGTTTTGACCTATTTATAGGTACGTGGTTACAGCCATGCTACAGCCTCATTATGGCTGTAGCACGAATGAGTTAACTCGACATAAACAAGACCATATTTTCACAGAATACCAACGTAAAATAGCAGCTTAATGCTGCTATGTTTCGTATTACATAGAATCGGGTACCCATTTTACTGAATACGAGTTATTCTATCTTAATCCTCAAAGGTGACAAAGCATCTGCATTTTGATTCTGAGTTGATGATATTTGTAAATTTGTATGAGCCACAGCATCCACTTACCATCAGGTAAGTGATCTTACCTGATGGTAAGTAAAATTGGAAATCATAGTTTGAAAAACTCCAGGCTTAAAAGAGTTATTGTTTAAAAAGCTACAAAATTTAGATATTGTGACAGAGGAAGACTTAAAAAATTATAAATTGTTACTTTTGGATACTAATGCACACAAATGTAACGTAGTTATGATCCATCGAAACCGATTAATAGTAACAAAGTATTTAAATATATGCAAGTGATCAAACCATTGTTTAAGCACTTGAGAAATCATAAAAGTAGTGCAGAAAGTCTTCCAAAGGGAGAAGGAGTTGATATTATAAAAGAAGTTAAAAAATACTTCTTTTAAAATATCAACTCAAGATTCTCTTTGCTGAAACGATCCAAACGAGTTAGTGGAATGATTAAAATTACTACTTGGATCATGGGCAGCTGGTAACACAGGGGTTTACAATGAAATTTATGTAATAATTGAAAAATTGCATGAACCTGGCATCATAAAAGACATTAAATATATTAAGCTGCCTAGACGGTTATGAATATAGACAAATTTGGTCATCATGTTCATAAGCGTTTACGACGATCTGAATGCTCTGATATTCTCTGTGACGCTTTAGTAAGAACAGACGCAGGTGATTTTGATTTGAAATCAACAAGATTAAAAGGACTGCAAACTCCTGAAAAAGAAGATGAGGCTGTGAATAAAGAATATAATAATAATAATATCTGTTTGTCCCAGCCGAATATCACGCAGAAACTAACGGAGCGTATAGACGACCTGAAGCAAAAGATCGCTGCTTGGGGGAAGCGAATTCGCCGATTTACCGAGTGGTCAATGCGGTTCAACCAGAATCGTCTCTTCCAGAGTGATAAGAAGAGGCTCTACAAATCATTGGAGCGACCAGAGGTATGTGGAGCGGGCCCAGGGCCGGATCACGCTAACACTGTCGCATTTTGGCGTGGCCTGTGGTCAGAACCCGTAAACCACAGCGAGGGCCCTTGGACGGAAGTTGTGGCGAGTCAGTATGCGAGTATTACGCCCATGGACCCCGTCATCATAACGCCGGATGACGTAGCTGAGGCGGTCCGTAGAGCCCCGAACTGGAAAAGTCCGGGACTCGACGGGCTGCATCACTACTGGCTGAAGGGGTTCGTGGTGTGTCACGCTGTGCTCGCCCGTCAGTTTCAAGAGGCTCTCAACCAGAAGTCGCTTCCTAGCCTATTCACTACTGGGATCACTCATTTGGTTCCTAAAGACCAGATTACCACAGACCCGAGCAAATACCGCCCCATTACGTGTCTACCCACTATATATAAGACACTGACATCCATTTTGGGTGCGAGAATAACTCGTCACCTGGAGCTAAATCAGGTGATGTCACGCGCTCGAAATGGATGTCGGGGCGGTGGTCATGGAACTAAGGAACCACTCCTCATTGACGCAGTCATTGGCAAAGTGGTGAAATGCAGCCGTCGGAACTTCACCGCCGCCTGGATAGACTACAGAAAGGCATTCGACTCGGTGCCCCATACATGGCTAAAGAGAGTCCTCGAGCTGTAAAAGGTAGAATGTACAGTGAGAGACTTCCTCGAGCAGTGTATGGGGCAGTGGAGTACGATCCTTTGTCATCTGGGTGAGCAGATGATTGCTGCGGAGAACCACATAAGGATAAGAAGGGGTATCTTCCAGGGCAAATGTCTGAGCCCAATCTGGTTCTGCTTCTCTCTGAACCCTCTCAGTACCTTACTGGAGGGATGCGGGAGGGGATTTCAACTACGGAAAGGAGGGACAAAAGTGACCCACCTTTTCTATGTGGATGACTTCAAGTTATTCGCCTCTAGTCGCTCCCATCTTATGGAATTGCTAAAAATCACTTGTGAATTTAGCAATTCCATTGGAATGGAGCTGGGGACCGATAAGTGTGCGGTCCTTCATGTCGAAAGGGGAAGAGTTGCTAACTCTGAGGGCATAGACTTATCTATGCCCGTGAACTTGAGAACCCTTTCCGAGGCTGAAACATACCGATACCTGGGTATGTCACAGAACATCGGTATCGATGAGGCTGGTATGAAACAGTCAGTTTGCGACGTGTTTTATGCACGCTTGACCAAAGTGCTTAATAGCCTTTTGTCTGGTGTAAATAAGATACACGCATATAACGGTTGGGTCATGCATGTGGACTCAGACAGAACTTAACGCCCTGGATAGAAAAGTTCGCACTACCATGACGTCCCATAGGATGCATCATCCGAGATCGTCGGTAATGAGGCTGTACTTGCCGCGAAAGCATGGTGGGCGTGGCTTTCTGAGCGCACTCACTATGCATAATGGTGAAGTGTGCAGCCTCCGTCATTACTTCCTGGCGAGATCGGATGATCCATTCTATAATGACGTTATTTCTAGTGATAAAGGGCTTACCCCTTTAGCCAACGAGCAATGGCACGACCTGGCAGTGCTTAGCATTTCCGAACGGGAGGCCGTATGGAAGGAGAAGGAGCTCCACGGGAGGTACTACAGGGCTCTACATGAGCCCTTCGTAGATTCAGTCGCCTCCCTCAACTGGCTACGTTTCGGTGACGTATTCGGGGAAACCGAGGGTTTTGTATGTGCAATACAGGATCAGGTTATTAAGACCAACAACTATCGGAGATACATCCTAAAGGATGGCACCATCGACATCTGTCGAGCTTGTCGCCTTCCCGGTGAGTCGCTTAGGCATGTCATCTCCGGTTGTTCGGCGCTTTCTAACTCCGAGTACTTGCACAGGCACAACCTAGTAGCCAGAATTCTACACCAGGAGCTCGCTCTGAAATACGGTCTCGTGGACTGGAAATTGCCGTATTACAAGTACTTGCCTGAAGCCGTGCTCAAAAATGACCGCGCCAGGCTCTACTGGGACCGGGCCATCATCACAGACAGGACTACTCTTGCGAATAAGCCTGATATTGTGCTGATGGACCGGGCACAGTCAAGGATATTTTTGGTCGGTCGGCCTCTCGGGTCGTCTGAGGCGACTGGGACTCCGTGACGGACCGCTCCCGGCTCAAATTCAAAAGGCGGTGCTCCTCGATATCGCCCGCATCGTCCGCCGGTTTCTTTCCCTTTCCCCCTAACCCTCGGCCGTTTGGTCTCCCCTGCCGAGGGCTTCCATCTGGTTGGATCTTACTTATTTATGTATTTTTTGTATTTATATAGTTTTATTGATATTTATGTATATTTATCTCATAATGGTTTCTTATATTTACAATTTTACCATCAGACAAAGTAACTGCATTTTTAGAACATCTTAATTCCATAAACTCTAAAATTCAATTTACTATGGAGTTAGAGGCAAATAATTCCTTACTTTTCCTAGATGTGTTAGTCATCCGAAATCCTAATAACACCATTGGTCACACCGTGTATAGAAAAAAGACCCATACAAACCGATATTTAAACGGTGAATATCACCACCATCCTTCACAGTTAGCTGCCGTGGGCAAATCTTTGTTACAGAGAGCACGAGGGATCTGTGACAGCAAACACCTGGCCGCCGAGCTTCAGCACGTCAAGCAAGTTCTACACGACAACAAGCTTCGGGTCCCGCGCCTACGTCACAGTGACCGAGTGAAGCCGGCCACAGTCGAGCGTGTGCCTGCTGTACTACCATATGTCAGAGGTGTCACAGACAAGATTGGCTATATCTTGAAGCGAGCTTCTATTAGAACATTCTACAAGCCGCCGAAGAAGATTAGTCAGTTCCTACCATCCGTCAAGTGTCATATTCCTCTACAAGATGCAGGAGTGTACAAGCTTGATTGTGAATGTGGTCTCTCTTATATAGGACAAACCAAAAGATCCAAAAGATAAGACCCGCGTAAAAGAACATATAGCTGATGTGAAGCATCAACGTTCCGGGAAGTCTGCAGTTTGTGATCATATCCTAGACGGCCCCAACCATTACATCAGATTTGTTAGACCACAAATCCTCGCGAAAGAACACCGATTCCTACCAAGGATGATATGTGAGGCTATTGAAATTAAAAAAACATCCTAATTTCAATAGAGAAGGAGGCTGGGTACTACCACCTGCTTGGGATCCTATAATCAATAAAATTAAAACTAAACCCAAGCATACCACTGCAAGACCTCAGGACATAGTCAGTTCATTTTGCATAGATCGGACTATAAACAATAATTAAAAAAAGCTGAAAGTACTCCGGGTTTAACAATGACATCGGGACGTCAGTTATCTCAGCCCCCCGTGACCATAGGTGCTGGAAAGCGCCCGAAACGTCGGGAATTAAAAATAAAAGTAATTAAAAGTAAAAATAAACGCGATAAAATCCGTAAAAGTAGTTTTAATCATATATTTATCTCTTCATTTTAATTTATAATTATATATTTATAGAACCCAACCAGATGAGAAAATTATATAGATACCCCAAAATAATAATAATAATAATAATATTTTATTTGCATAAAACATGGTACTAATAGATTTTACAGAACGTTTCAGATCAGCATGTTTTGCTATGGTTATTCATAGCATGCGAATTTTTTTTTTACATTAATATTTTTGGCTACAAAAATCCTTACACTATAGAAATTACAATTATTTAGCCACTGATATAGTTTTAATTTGAATGATCTTGTATTTAATATTTTTAAGTAATTAGGTATCTTATTATATAAGTGAACACACATAAATAAACAACTTTTATTATATTTTCTTATTCTAGGATTATTGTTTATTACAAGTCTATATGGATCTCGACGATTGCGGGGATTTACATCATCTATCGTTGTATACAACGTTTTGTGCTTATGTACAAACATGCATACTTCATAGATATAAAGTGATGGTAGTGGTAATAAGCCAAGTTTTTTACGGTGCTGTTACCCCACATTTTGTATATAATGCGATGCAAAGTTTATTATCTGAATCAAGACGAAAACCTAAAAATTTACAAACAGATCTTGGTACAGAGTTTTATAATGATTCTTTTAAGAATTTAGTGAAAAATTATAGAATCAATCATTATTCCACGTACACCGTTAAAAAGGCCTCCAATGTAGAACGAGTAATAAGAACTTTAAAAACTCGCCTTTACAAAATATTCAGTCTATGCGGACGATATCAATGGTTCAAAAATAATTTAAATTTTGTTGTAAAGTGGTATAATAATACTTTACATCGCATTACAAAATTTAAGCCTATCAACGTTAATGATTCAAATGCGATTTTAGTTATGTCAAACATCAAGAAGTATCAAAAGCCTAAGATACGTCAAGGACCAGCGTTTCACGTTGGCGATTACGTTCGTATAAGCAAATAAAAACGAGATATTTACAAAGGTTATACCCCTAATGGTCTACAGAAATATTTCGTATCGTTAAAGTCAACCAAACCAATCCTCAAACCTCTCAAATAGAAGACAAACAAAATCAAAAAATTCATTATCTTCTTCATTATCTTATTGAAAAAGTAATTAAAAGAAAGGAAATAAGCTTTTAGTAAAATGGTGAGGTTTGAGCGATGAAGGAAGGCAGTGGTATAATTACAACGTTCCTTCATCGTATTTTATATTTGTACATTAGTAGTGTAATATACAATTTACATTTACCCAGCTGTCGATTTTGCGGCCCCGGAACGAAACTTCAAAAACGGTTACTCAAAGGCGATTTTGGGATAAACAAATTGGATGAAGCGTGCATGTTCCATGATATTGCTTACACTAATAAAGATTCGGGCGCTCGACAAAAAGCGGATTTAGAATGTTTGAAAATGGCAAAGAGAAAGCTCAAATCAGAAGATGACAAAAATGAAAAAAAGAGAGAAAGAATTGCCTCATGGATAGTCAAAAATGCGATGAAAGCGAAAATCCGGGCGGGAACGGTATAAAAGCATTTAAGAAGGGGATACAGTCTCAGTTGAAAAAATTAAAATCGAAAGACAGTCACTCGGCTATAAAATATGCCTATGCAGCTGCAAAGAAAATATTTAGTAATAAAAAAGGAATAAGTTTACCCCGTTGTATTCCTCTTCCAAATTGTGAAGGAATTTTACCAATTATTCCCATATTTGCAGGATTGTCAGCTTTAAGATCATTAGCTGGTGGAGCAGCGGGTATAGCAAAAGCTGTTAATGATTCAAAGGCAGCACAAAAGAGTCTTCAGGAATCTGAAAGACACAACAGAATGATGGAAGCCGTTGCTCTAGGAAAAGGATTATATACTAAATCTCATGAACAAGGAGCAGGTTTATATCTTAACCCCTCAAAAGACTAATTAGATGGCTACCCAGACGGGTGCTCACTAGCTCTATATATTAGAACATGCAAGTGACATTCCATACTTTCGTGGCGTTTTCATGAGAAATAAATTACCTTTGAAACCGAGAAAGATAGAATGTGGAATACTGAATTTGGATAGCTACAGAAATCCTGGAATGCATTGTGTAGTCTTTGTAAAGCACAATAAATTTTATTTATTTATTTATTTCTGAAACTTACAACTATCATTACAGGATTACCTAATGCGATAGTGTAGCTGTCTGATTTGTGTAGATTATTTAATTTTTGTAACAAATTACAAACAATGCTGTCTTTGTGAATTCACTCAGAGTACAACAAAATAGGTCCGTCTCACAAGCTATTAAGTTGAGCATGCGGTGTGCGCGCGTTAGAGGTGCCTCACTCAGAAGGTTGGTGTGACCTCGCGGCTCCACCAACAGTCGCGGCTGCCGTCGGCACCACACATACCTCTCAGGAACACATAGATTAAGCTGCCCTAATATTTCAGTGCCGTGTAGTGGCGGTTAAGAATATCCACTACCCCATATCTTCCCGTGGGTGTCGTAAGAGGCGACAGAGGGAGACAGGCAGGAGATGGGCAGCAGCATCTTCCTGATAACAGCAACTGTACGACAAAAAAAAACTGCGGTTGCGAACCCGCTCGCCAAGCGTGGCAACTATGGCAATATACCCCCCATGAACAATTACACAAATAGACGGCCCCCAGTCCCCGGCGGCCCCGCTATTCCTGGCTACGGTGGCGACCATGGTAACGGCGGGGCAGGGGGTGCTAAGAATCTCCGGTGGAGGTTCGGTTGCCACCTACGACGACTCGACCTGGCAACATTTAACGCACGCAAACTGAGGACTGACGAGAAGATCCTGGAGCTGGAAGAAGAGATAGACAAGTTGCGCTGGAGTATTATAGGATTATCTGAGGTCCGAAGAGAGGGGGGAGGACACGGTGATTCTCGAATCCGGCAACTTGTTCTATCACCGGGAGGGCGACCATCTGTCCCAAGGAGGTGTCGGATTTATCGTCCACAAGTCTCTCGTCAACAAAGATGTAAAGATTGGGAGTGTGTCGACGAGGGTCGCGTACCTGATACTCAGAATCACCAAACGGTATTCGCTGAAGGTCATACAGGTTTACGCACCAACCTCGGCACATTCCGATGAGGAGGTGGAGGAAATGTATGAGGATATTTCCAAAGCCATACATTCCTCCAAAACCCACTACACGGTGTTGATGGGAGACTTCAACGCAAAACTAGGCACAAGAGAAAACGGTGAGCTGAAGTTAGGGAAATTTGGAGTAGGGCAACGGAACCGAAGGGGCCAGCAGCTGGCCGACTTTATGGAGAAAGAGGGACTCTTTATGATGAACTTCTTTCTTCCAGAAGCGGCCCCACAGGAAGTGGACCTGGTCGAGCCCCGACGGTTCGACAAAAAATGAGATTGACTTCATTATGACGACCAGACGCCAACTGTTCAGTGATGTCTCAGTGATCGCAAGGGTGAAAACTGGCAGCGATCACCGAATGGTTAGAGGCACACTGAACCTAAACGTTAAGTTGGAGAGGTCTCGTCTAATGAAGTCAACGCTCCTTCCCCCTCGTGCTCTGATCCAAAATCCCGAAAACTTTCAGCTCGAGTTACACAACCGCTTTCAGTGTCTACAAGATTGCAATGCAGTGGACGATATGAATGACAAGCTCGTGGAAACTGTCCATGCGGTCGGAGCTAAGTTCTGCAAGACCCGCCGCAGAAGAACACAAAAACTCTCCGATCACACTCTTAATCACATGGCTGTTAGACGGGAGATGAGGTTGCCATCGTCAACAGATTTGACAGCATACAGGCAACTGAACAGACAGATCTCCAAATGCATGCGGCGAGACTTACGCAACTTTAATACTGCTCGTATTAAAGAAGCGATCGAGCGGAACCAGGGCTCCAAAGTCTTTGCCAGAGATCTGTCTGCCAGAAAGAGCCAACTGTCAAGGCTGAAGACTGAGTGTGGCAGCATCGTTTCCGGGACACCTGAGATTTTGAGTGAGATTGAGAGGTTCTATGGGCAGCTGTACACATCATCGTTGGAGCCACACGCAAGTGTGAGTAACGATCCAAGAGCAAGTCTTATCCGACACTATTCCGATGTATCCCGGACGTCAGTCTAAGCGAGATTAGAATGGCTCTCCAGCACCTTAAAAACGGCAGGGCCCCAGGCGAGGATGGAATTACAGCGGAGCTTCTGAAAGCGGGTGGAACACCGGTACTTGAAGTCCTTCAGAAGCTCTTCAATTCCGTCCTCCATGGTGGCACTACTCCAGAGGCGTGGAGCAGAAGTGCGGTGGTCTTGTTCTTTAAGAAAGGCGACAACGCTCTCTTGAAGAACTACAGACCGATTTCCCTTCTGAGCCGCGTCTACGTGCTGTTTTCGAGAGTCATTACGAATCGTCTCGCACGCAGACTCGACGACTTCCAGCCTCTCGAACAAGCCGGTTTCCGAAAAGGCTGCAGTACCATAGACCACATACATACCCTGCGGCAGATTGTACAGAAGACTGAGGAGTACAATTTGCCACTTTGCCTGGCGTATGTGGACTATGAGAAAGCCTTTGATTCCGTCGAAATTTGGGCGGTGCTGCAGTCCCTTCAGCGGTGCCAAGTTGACTGTCGGTATATCGAAGTGCTGAAGTGTTTGTACAGTAGGGCTACGATGGCTATCCGAGTACAGAACCAGAGCTCGAAACCTATCCAACTGCAGAGAGGTGTAAGACAGGGTGACGTTATATCCCCGAAACTCTTCAGCGCTGCTTTGGAAGACGTTTTCAAGCTACTGGACTGGAAAGGATACGGTATTAACATCAATGGCGAGTACATCACTCACCTTCGATTTGCCGACGATATAGTTCTTATGGCAGAATCGCTGGAGGACTTAAGCACTATGCTCAATGACCTCAATAGTGCCTCCCAACGGATAGGTCTTAAGATGAACATGGACAAAACAAAGATTATGTTTAATGTCCATGTCACACCTATGCCGGTAGTTGTTGGAAGCACTATGCTCGAAGTTGTTGACGAGTACGTTTACCTGGGACAAATATTCCGACTAGGTAAGTCCAACTTCGACCGAGAGGTCAATCGACGGATTCAACTCGGCTGGGCAGCGTTCGGGAAATTACGACATATCTTCTCGTCAGGTATACCTCAATCTCTGAAAACTAAAGTGTACAACCAGTGCGTGTTGCCAGTGATGACTTACGGATCAGAGACGTGGTCCTTCACTGCTGGCCGTATGAGGACGCTCAAGGTCGCTCAGCGAGCTATGGAGAGGGCTATGCTCGGAGTTTCTCTGCGTGATAGACTCAGAAATGAGGATATCCGCAGTAAAACCAGATTGACCGACATAGCCCAACGGATTAGTAAGCTGAAGTGGCAATGGGCCGGCCATATAGCTCGAAGAACCGATAACCGATGGGGAAGAAAGGTTCTCGAGTGGCAGCCTCGTACCGGTAGGCGTAGTGTAGGGCGACCCCCCACTAGATGGAGTGACGACCTGGTAAGATATGCAGGAAGTCGATGGATGCAGGTGGCTCAGGACCGTGCTTTGTGGCATTACTTGGGGGAGGCCTATGTTCAGCAGTGGACTTGTGAAGGGCTGTGATGATGATGATGAATATTTCAGCATTAAACAATTTTCCTCGCAGTATTTTAAAAATATACGAGGTGAGCGCGTTTTCCCTTCTAACCCTCAGTTCATTATATCCTACCATACCTAATATAATCAAAGTTGGATACGTTAGAGGGTAAATTGGGTAGACACCATAATAACGCATATATAAATATCTAATGAATTTATTTTATACTCGCTCTAGCATGAGACTATACTTAGTTTCATGCGGAGCCCAGATGACTGCATTACATTCAAGTTGACTCCTTACCAATGCATTATATAAGGCGATAATCGCTTTTATGTTTGTGAATCCCCTCACTGTACGAATCATAAATCCTAGATTTCTATAAGCTTTTTTACAAATGCTCATGATGTGATCATAAAAAGTAAGCTTTGTGTTAAAAGTTACTCCTAAATCCTTAACTTCTCTGACCCTCGTCATCAAAAGCCCGTCAATGTGATTATTATGTAAAATAGGAGTATGTGCGCGAGAAAAAGTAATTAACACACACTTAGAGCTATTAAGTTGCAAGAGATTGTCTTTGCTCCAACTTATAACCCTGTCTATGTCCCTTTGTAGTCTGGCACAGTCATCCCCATTTTTTACCGCAAGAGACAATTTGAGCTCGTCAGCAAACAATAAACACTTAGCGTCCTTCACCACTTCTGGTAGGTCGTTTATCATCAGCAAGAACTCCAAAAGGGTCAAGGTTACTGCCCTGACTTACCCCGGACCATGTGAAATATGGTTCCGACTTATGTCCCGCATATTCTACATATTGCTGCCTATCGGACATATGACTAGCAAAAAAAGTGCAGTAAATGTGGGGTAAAACCCACACCTGCTAGTTTTTTAAGTAACACGTTATGATCTACCAAATCAAATGCTTTTTTGAAGTCAAAAAATGCCGCATCCGTTTGCACCCCTTTGTCTCCACTCGGTGCCAGATGTGCCATCTGACAGAGGTTACTGGTTGTACTCCTTCCTGGCCGAAACCCGTGTTGTGCGTCTGAGAGTTGTGCGCTCATCTGATGGGATATTATCTTATAAATAGCGGCTTCGAATACTTTTGCCGGCGTAGACAACACTGCAATATATGTATGCCTCCACTGACTCTGCTGAACCTCCCTTTGGAACCGGAACAAAGTGGGTTACTTTCCACCTCTCTGGAAACACCGCAGCCGTAAGGGATTTGTTGTATATATGCAGTAGTGGCTTAGCTAGTACCGACCGACAATCCTTAAAAATGTAAGGCGGAATGCCGTCAGGTCCTGGAGACCGTTTGGGCTTGAGTTCTTGAAGCGCACGACATACG